AATAGAAAATCTAAAAAAGCAATAAAGTTGATGTTAAGAAGTAAGTTGAAGAAGAACAGCATGATAAGGAGGACGCAGAGAGAGTGTATATAACCCTAATATAGATAATCTTTTAAATTCAATTGTAAAGAACAAATAAGGAAATGAATGATATGAAGAAAAAAGGAGAACACACACGGATTTAATAATGAAAAATATAATTTATAAATTTATTCAGTGTACATTTGTGTGTATGTGTTTTGCTTCATTCAGTGTATAGGTTTTATTAATTAAGTAGTCGATATAGATATTCGAGTGAAAGATATCTTATATTTTGGTATGGATTATAATATATACAAATTTTACAGGAATTGAGGACAGTAAAACATTATTTATTCTATATAATTATTACAATAATGATATTGCTCAAAGAAATGTTCAAAACAAAAATATTGCTTGCACCATGCACAACGTATAAAAGTCATTTTACCACAAATGCTACATTTTGGTATACGTTTTTCTTCTTTAAAATAACAATAATCGATTGGATTATGAAATTTTTCAGGCCGTGTTGATAAATAACCACTTTTATACCAGCTATATCTAAATAAATTTCGAAATCTTGGAGAAGACAGTTGATTGTGTGTTAAAGATTGCAATTTTATTATGTTATTACGTAAATGTAAATTTATGTCGTAATTATTTATAATAATACTATCAGAAAAGCTTCGAACAAAATTTTTCCAGATTCTGAAACCAAAAACATCTAATGGCTGTATAAAAGCAGTTGTTTTTTTGGTATTGTTAGAATATTTACATGTTTGTCTTTTGGTACTTCCAATTGGTTCGGGCAATGTCCTGTCCATGAATCAAGCAGTAGTATACTTTTCTCTCCAGTGTTTGGTAGATACACTTCTTGGAACCAATTTTTGAAATGTTCAGTTGTCAATTTCCCTGATTTTGAAGCCGCAATGTAAATATTCACTGGTCTAAAAAGAGTTTGTTCTACTTGTGGTCCAAAAACACCAGTAGATTCTTTTAATACTATATACAAAGGCGAAAGGAGATGTCCATCTGCAGATATAATAGGCATAATGGTGTAGCTATGAGTCATAGCAGATAAAGATTGGATAGTAGCTCCAACTGTCTTCACTCCTACATTAGCTAATGTTCTTCCTGCATGTATTTCTAAATTAAAGCCACTTTCGTCCGCATTATAAGTTGATTCAGCACCGATTACATTAATATGTGGCTTTACTGTATTTACAAATTCCTCAGCGTTTTGACGTATAGTTAGATCAGTTAAATGAGAAGACCGCGTTTTAAATGCAGTTATTTTACGTGATGTAATACGATGTGCCTTTTTAAAATTCCATATCCACCAATTTCCTGCTTTAAATGAAGAAATATCCACTTGTTCCTTTGCTTCTAGTGCCCATTTTCGCAGATTTATATCATGAATAATAAGTCCTCTATTAACAGCTTCTTGGAATTTTATAAGAACATATTCAGCAATAACTACAAGTTTGTCTGTATTTGAACCCCCACGCATTACATGTTCTTGCCATCTGTGCAATTGTTGAATAGATTTTACCTAGAAGAAAACAAATCTCAATATTAAACAATTCGAATTCAAAAATAAAAGAAGTTATATACGAATTAAATGTTCACGAAACATCAAATTGTAAAACTTAAAATAAAAAACAACGCGACTCTAACTATATAATTTACAGCTTTGGTCATAAGTATAAAGCATCTCTAACTCATTGTATTTTCCTAGAAATCAATGCATATACTCATAGTAAATATATAATCTCTTTACAATAAATATTATATTAATATTTTATAATATAATGTGTATGTTATATTTATGTATATTATATTTATATTATAATTTATATTATATTAATATTATATTATATTACAATAAATATTGTAAAATAAATATTATTTTCCACATATTCTTATATTATATTTTTTTATTATATTATTTTTCCATATACTCGTATACTATATTATGTTCTCCATATATTCATATAGTATGTTTTTGTTACACAATTTAAATAAATTTTTTGGGATGCTTTATACTTATAGTCAAAGCTGTATGTACAATGACCGACAATGATGCGTTCCGCGAGAGGGGAAATAGAGTTCTCTCTGTCGCGGAACGAATCACTGCCGGTCACTGTACACCGTAAAAGCCTCAAGTATTTTACTATATATTATTCTTCTTATTTTTTAATTAAACTTTACTTTTCTAAAACAATGTTGTACAGAAGTAAAAGATAAATGTCCTTTCTTTCCACTCTTCCAAAATTCGATTGCCTTTTTCTTATAATTTAAGTTTACATTTCCACCTTCATCATCCACAGTGCAAACTTCATTTCCATAATTATCTTCTTCAGCATCAATATCGTACACATCTACAAATTGTACGTCATGCGGTTCTGATGGATCGTCAAAATCAAGTCCCCACTCATGTTCGATCGTAATATCGTGATGTATAGCACTCTTTATTAAATCAGTAATTGTATCATGGAGTTCCACCTCTTGATGATTAACAGGAGTTATTGCAATATTTGTGAAATGAAATGTCGCAATTAACAAATTAATAACATTAGCTGGATTTATTACTGACATTATGATACAAATCTTAAGGATATTTTAATTAAACATTTCTCATAGCAATAATAATATACGTACTGCTTCAATAACTGCTTCAATAACACTGAAATGTATTCCAAAATGGACAGCTTTTATATGCAAATGAATGAAGATAACATATGTCAATATAATGAACCTTGATTGCACTGTACTTGATAAAGAGTGCTATTTTGGTCGCACAGTCATAAAACTTGTGACAAGTGTTTTGCATGTTGCCATGATGTACACACACGTGCGCACGTACAAAAACACACATACACACACACACACATATTTATTTATATTTACGCGTGTCGTTTAAATTAATGAAAAAGGTAGCCGCAATGTTGGCAAAATAAACGTCTATTACGTGAAATTTTATAATTTATAACATTTTTAAATATTAGTGACTGTATCCTTATCATGCTATTTTTCTCCTACTTACTTCTTAACATCAACTTTATTGCTTTTTTAGATTTTCTATTTTCTTCCTTCCTTATCTTTTACAGTTTGCAATTATGAGGAAGATTTGAGGAAGAAAGAAATGCCATCGTCAAGTAGCGAATCCTTAAGTTTGGTACGCGTAGCATACATATAAGAGCATGTTTAATTTTTTTTTCAATATTGCCTTTTCCAAACATAATGTTATTATATATGGTTGAATTTGTCATAAAATAAGCTTTATTTTGGTTGGACAATTGATTTTAACAATTTGAAAAAAGAGAAGGAGGGGGGGTATTTTATACACAATTTTACATTTTAAAAAAATCTAAATATAGCATAATAAAGTACTTTTAAAACCATAAAACTTTTGTCTAAAACATTTTTTCATATCTTTAATAGTTTCGATAATATTCGCTTAGAAAGACAAAAATCAACTTTGTTCAAGGGGTTGTTTCCACCCTTAAAACCGTTTTTGGGCACCAACGAAAAATTGTTTTGTTATTAGGTATATCTGCTCTACAATTATGCAGAGTTTCAGATTTTTTTGAATTTCCGCGTTGCCGAATGTCCCTTGTCAGTTTTGTTTGAGCGCGCGTCAAAGATGGACACTAGCAAAGAGGAAATACGCTATATCTTACAGTTTTTCTTCGATAAAGGCGAAAACGCAAGCCAGACGGCTGAAAATGTGAATAGTGTTTATGGTCCTGATACTGTAACAGCCAATCACGCGTAATTTTGGTTTCGTCGATTCCGTTCCGGTAATTTCGATGTCAAAGATGCACCACGCACTGGAAGGCCAATTGTCGAAAATATCGATAAAATCATGGACATTGTCGAGTCCGACCGTCATGTAAGCACTGGTTTCGATTGCCCAAGAGCTAAAGATTGCACAAAAAACCGTTTGGAACCATTTGAATAAGGCTAGATACAAAAAGAAGCTCGATGTATGGGTGGCACACAAGTTAACGAAAAAAAACCTCATGGACCGAATCTCCATCTGCGAATCGCTGCTGAATCGCAACAAAATCGACCCATTTCTGAAGCGGTTGGTCACTGGTGATGAAAAGTGGATCACTTACGACAACGTCAAGCGAAAACGGTCGTGGTCGAATCGCGGTGAGCCGGCGGAAACGGTGGCCAAGCCAGGATTGACGGCCAGGAAGGTTTTGCTGTGTGTTTGGTGGGATTGGCAGGGAATTATCTACTATGAGCTGCTCCCCTACGGCAAAACTCTTAACTCGAAACTGTACTGTCAACAATTGGACCGTCTGAAGGAAGCAATCGCCCAGAAGCGGCCAGCTTTGGCCAATAGGAGAATAATTGTGTTCCATGAGGACAACGCCAGGCCACACACATCGATAGTGACTCGCCAGAAGCTCCGGGAGCTTGGTTGGGAGGTTCTTATGCATCCACCTTATAGTCCGGACCTGGCACCAAGTGATTACCATCTGTTCCTGTCCATGGCGAACAATTTTGCTGGTGAAAAATTCGCTTCAAGAGAGGCTTGTGAAAATCGACTGTCTCAATTTTTTGCCAATAGGGACGAGGACTTCTACGAGAGAGGCATAATGAAATTACCTTCAAAATGGCAACAAGTTATCGAACAAAACGGCGCATATTTGACCTAAATCGGATCATTTTAACCATGGTAATTAAAGCCTTCAATTTCATGCAAAAATAATGGATTTCCTTTTACTACCTGATATTATTTATCACATTGTGTAAGAACACATGTTTTGTTAATATATGATATCATAATGTTATAATATTACTACAATATTAAAATAGCATAATATGGATCTGTACTAAGAAATCCACATAACGCTATTTCAATATTATTATTCAATATTATAACAATATTGTTGCAATTGTGATATTATAAATTAATAAACATTTTTGTAATGTATTGTTAATTGTGATATAATGCAAAAATTTTATTTTCTATTTTGACATGTGCTTATTGTAGTTGAATAAACAAAAGAGACATGATGCTTCAAAAGAAACAAGTACTGAAATTCTGAAAGCTTATATGAATGCATCTAAAGGAGAAATAGGAGAAAAAGGACAAGAAAGAACTGAAGGATCTTCTATGTGTTGATGAAGATAAAAGTACAAAACATGCATATGGTGAAACAAGTAAAGTCACATTTCAATTATTTGCGTATGCACATATAATTCTTTTTTATTATTTTTATTACAATACTCATTTTTTCCATTATATTACAGCATCGTTATCAAGTGATGAAAATGAATATATAAAAAAAGAAAAATGAATGTCGAAAATTTTACGCCAGGTAAGTTTGTACTGTGTATTATCTTGCACGATATGTTTTTAATATCATTAAACATTTTTATAGTTTTATCATGGACTTCGACACTACAAAAAGCAAAAAGAAACGTAAGTTATACATAACAGAAAATGGGTTAAAACGGAGAAGCAAAGTAAAACTTTTATTTCATAGGAGCAGTAGTACTAATGACAAATATGCAGAACTTCATAATTATATTGTTGTTGCAATAGAAAAACTGCCTATGTATATTTTTGTAAATTGTCAATAGTATCATATTCAGAATTCAATTCCGCGTTTGGTGGCACAAGTATTTTGAATTTCCCAAAAAATGTACACAGGATGCAAATTTTCACCGCAGCGATGATGTTATTTCAGGTTCCTTCATGTTAGAATGAAGTTTCGCAAATTTGTCATAAATTGTGCACTACATTCCTATAAAATAACATAGTACATATTTACACACTGCGCCATTTAGTATCATATTCTTTTAATATACATTATTTATGATGATTGATTTAAGGAACGTATTTCATACAAAATTTCATAACATTATAGACGTATACCAGCGTATCTAATGCAAAGGAAGTGGAACAGGAAATTGACGGTATCGAGCATTCAAATTTACAGTCACCACAGACAGAAACAATTGTTGCAGAAGTTTCCGATTTGACACCATTAACTGAAGCAACAGCGAAGCAACTAATTGCTTTATTAAACGTTGTGATAGGGCAAGATAAATCGATATATTAATATTACAAAAAAGCATGTATACTATTAAATGATATTTTCTACATTTATGTTTTATTCTATTTTTACGATACTTATGTTACATAGTAAAATAATGTTAAATTTAACGAAAACAGTTATATATTTATTGAATGTAATTCTAGTTATTAATGTTACACATATATTATATAATTTTACAGGAAAACTGCCTTTGATGAATGGCTGCAACATAAATAAGGAAGAATCAAACATAGAAGCAATTGGCCAAGATATCCACTTAGGTCACAACATTTCAGTGACAAAAACAGCGTATGAAGAAATACAAAGAGTTAACCACTTGCGCTGGCAAAAAATTCACTGACGCGTGTACCAGAAGGGTCCAGTGTAACTCGCTGAGAGGCGTCATACAGTGTTCGATGCCTTACAGAAATCGGAAAAAGATTTATATTTTCTAAACTAATTTATTTTCGACCTAGGACTTTTAATAACTTTTTAAAGGGAATATAGAACGTCGATTGATTATAAAATTATACAAATATAAATATTTAATTTATTTATTATTACTCATGCAAAGTGTGGTATCTCTCGAAACAGTCTGGAACATGTAATGGTACAAGGCATTTCTTACATTCCCATATAGTTTCACTTCGTTTTTTGTGTTTGGTACACACTCTACACTTTCGCTGTGGATTCCTTTTGGCATTTGTGTCTGGCAAACAATCCCACCCGATGTGCCACGCACGTTGTTTTTATTTCTGTGACAATCGCATGACGACGTACATACCACGTCGTTGGCGATTCTGTGACAAAAGCATTACGACGTGCGTGGCACGTCTTTCCAGCGCAAGTGGTTAAAGAGCCTAGTAAATTTGTTACAAATCTTGCTTATGCTGTGTGAGGATACAAAACATTATGTTCTCGGGCTGTGAGACAGCAAAGTAACTGTGCTCGTAAAGTGTTAACTCCTAAGAAAAAAGAGATTATTTATAATCATTTTGCAAAATGGTTAACAAGAAGGGGTTACAGTCAGAACTTAATAAGTGAGCAACTTGAACATGTTAATACTTATTTAGGCAGAGCAATATCTGGCGCAATGAAGCATGAAGGAATAATTGCGTCTGTAAAGAAAAACTTACCTATGGCACTAACAGAAACAAGTAATACAAAAATGTTAGAATGTGGTACAACGAGCGCAGAAGATTCTGATATAAATTAAAATTATATGCATACAGTTCAGTCATTTTGTGCCCTGCAATAAATGGAGTTGCAAAAATCGAAAATACACAAATTGGTTAGTTTAGCAGATTATTAATATTTAATGTAGCATTAATTTTTTACGATTTTTACGATTTTATAAGTTCTAAATGTTTTGCGTATAAGCTGTAACAGATACAATACCTTATTATTTAATTTACTTGAACAGTTAATTTCAAAATAGTAGATTTCTGTTACTTATAAAACTGTGGAAAACAAATTTCTATTATATTTGAAACAGTCACTTTGTCTAATATATATTAATTTTTATATAAACAGATCTCGACTTCAATATTGTACTTATTACCAATTTTCATTATTATTTTTTTCTTTTAGTTATATTTTATAAATCATATATTTTATAACATGATTTTAAAGAGCAATGATATGATATTTCATGTAATTTAGAGATTAAAATAAAGTGAAGTGAAGTTGAACTTAAGTTTGTCACACACCAGTCAAGAAAGTAATTTTGATTATTTTAAGAAATATAAGAGCAACTATAATATTTTCCCTATATTTGACAATAATCCTACTTTACCTTTATAAAATTGCGACCGACTATTGTTTAATAAAATGTGTATGTTAAAAATGGGAAAATAAAGAAAATTCAAAAATATTGTTAAGTATACTTTTTCAGAAATTGTCAAAGAAACTATGTTCCTTTTCAGTGAAAGTCAGATTATTTCATATCGCCTTCAGATTACTCCGTAGAAAGTAAAATAATATTAGAAAACAATATTGAAATTTCTCTTCATTCTTCATTTAAATTCTAATCTTATATATTTCGCGGAAAATTTCAGTATTTTACAAGGAATGCTTAGAGAAAAGAAAGAAATTGCATAATTACTCAGAAAATGAATACAAATTTTCATACAAACGCAGTTTTTTTCATTTTTACGAAATCTGAAATGTTTTCTTATTTTTTCAAAAAGTGTTTCAATTTACTGAATTTTTCATAGTTTTGAAAGAAATTTTCATCAAAATATTTTCACTAGGGCTTCTATGCAAATAAACTAAGAACGGCAATGCTTAGCGTGGGGTTAAAACAGTATGTTGACGAGGCGACGAGGATTATAAAAGATAGTAAAACAATTATAGATTTGGTATTTGCCAATAATAAAATAAAGGTTAAAGTATTTGACAAGCCCAAAATAACTGATCATGCGTGGTTGCAGGTAGAATTAAATGTGATTAAACCAAAAAGTAAATACAAAGTATGTAATAGTAGGGACTATAGTACATTTAATATAGATGAATTCCTAGAGTTACTGGGAAGGAAATTGGTACAAGGACAAGGTTTAAATGTAGATATGAGGGCAGACAAGTTAATTAATAGTATAGTGGATGCATTAGATAGAGTAGCTCCAAAGAAAGAGTTTAGAATACCAAGAGTATGGTGGGGAAAAAAATGGTTCTCGGATGAGATCAGACAAGCGGCAAAGACAAGAGATGAGATGTATGGTAGAGCAGTATATACGAACATAGAACAGGATTGGTTAAAGTATAGGGAGAGGAGAAATGCGGTAGTGAAACTTATTAAAGACAGAAAGAGGAAATATTACGAAAGTACGATAGAGCAAAAATTGCCGTTCTTAGTTTATTTGCATAGAAGCCCTAGTGAAAATATTTTGATGAAAATTTCTTTCAAAACTATGAAAAATTCAGTAAATTGAAACACTTTTTGAAAAAATAAGAAAACATTTCAGATTTCGTAAAAATGAAAAAAACTGCGTTTGTATGAAAATTTGTATTCATTTTCTGAGTAATTATGCAATTTCTTTCTTTTCTCTAAGCATTCCTTGTAAAATACTGAAATTTTCCGAGAAATATATAAGATTAGAATTTAAATGAAGAATGAAGAGAAATTTCAATATTGTTTTCTAATATTATTTTACTTTAAGAGTGACCCCAGGATTATGTGGAAAAATCTAAAGATACTACCCAGCAAACACAGTTATATAACAGTTTCATTGCTATTATATAACAGAATGTAACATGTAATATAACATGTATGTTACATGTAACATATACGTTAGTTGTAATTTCCCACTCAAACGATATTATAGTTATATAACAGAAATATAGCATGTTACTACAATGTAATATTACTGTTATATAAGTGTTATATTATTGTTTTATAAAATGTTATATAGCTGTTATATAACTGTTATAGGGAAAATAATATAAATCCCAGATAGCACAGAGAATTCCAAAAGAACTCAGGCATATGTCACCAATTACGAGTTCATTTTGAGATACAAAAAGAATTCTTATCTGAGAACTCTTAGAAAAGAATTCTTTTTGCATCTGAAAATGAACTCGTAATTGGTGACATATGCCTGAGTTCTTTTGGAATCTCTTTTGAATTCTCTGTGCTATCTGGGATGTTACATAACCGTAACTTCATAAGTTATTGCAGTTATGTAACTATTATATTAACTCTGCTAGGAATTGTTATATTCCTTTAAAGGATACGAACTTTAACAAATGCAAATTTCAGAAATAGATCATTGAATCAATTTTAAGTAAAACTGAACGAAATCTTATAGTACATATATCATGTACTTTTATCTTAAATTAATTCAATGATCTAATATTTATGGAAATTGCATTTGTCAAAATATTTTGGATTTTGGAAGGAAATAAATTTTACATTATTATAAATATAAAAATGTCTTTATTGTTGAAAATCAAAATGTCCTGATGAATGTTTTATTTTATCAATAAAAAATATTCATTAAGAGTTTTTAATATATTACCACTGTTTTAACTTGTTTTAAATCTTTTGAACAATATATATTTATATTATAGAATATATAAAAAAAAAAATAAAGACGGCACATGTTGTAAACTTATATTATCTTCCGTCGCACGTGCAATATTAATTCTAATATTTATATGCTACTCACTGATGTTCTGCTTTGCCTTGTCGTCTCTTTCTTTTCTTTGTTTGGCAAAGCGGAACCATTTTGCAGCAACATTGTCAAATTCTGCTTCTGTGAGAGTTACGTGATGTGACGTTATCTCTTCTAAAAAATTAAATAATAGATTGAATAAAAATATTTTAATACATTTTAATACATTTATATACTTAACGGAATAAATAACATACCTCTTATGATTTTCATAATATTCAAGTCAACAACTCGGAAATTATTTCTAACTCCTTTCCATGAGCAACATATCGCGCACTCATTTGTAAAAGTTTTCTTCATAGTACAATTTATATTATCCTTTGGATTGTTTCCCCCACTTTTCGAAAGAAATTCTTTCTAAAAATAAAAGTATATATATATTTGATATATTCGAATGTTTCATATTAATGTAGTTGAAGAAAAAATAAAAATTTTAGAGAAGAAAATTCGTGAAATCGATTATATATTTTCATCTCTGGCTGTATTTCAATATTCATTTCTAGTACTGAAAATCTATAGTTCATGTTATGTATAGATTTTCAGGACTGATGGTGAATATCAGAACGTACCTATGAGTGAAAACATAATACGTATATGAAAAGTTAAGGATCCGAACTAATATCAGATATAACGTCATTTCTGTATTATTTATTTTTATATTTTTCATTTTAGTATCTATGCATTTTCAGTCGAAATAAAATATAAATGATTATTAATTAAATATGGTAACGAAGATTCATGTCCATATTTCTTTTCTTACAATTTATTTGACATTATGTTGTTATTGATATTACAGCTTTATAACTATATTGTTTTATTTTTAATAAAAATATTTAGTAACTTTTAAAATTAAGGATGATATATATATATATATATACATATATATATATACATATATATATATATATATACAGGGTGCACGATTTATCTGAAGACATTGAAATATCTCGAGAACTATGCATTGGATAAAAAAAGTGGTTAATGAAAGTTGTTAGTCTCGAAGGGGGACATCCAATGATACCAAACTCGACCTCCCACCCCACCCCCTGGGGGTAGGGGTTGGGGGCAACTTTGAAATCTTAAATGGAAACCCCCATTTTTTATTGCTAGATACGGATTCTACGCCACAAAATACGTAAATTTTGTCCGAAACTTTTTTTTTTATTCGTGATAGATGGCGCTGTAATCGCAAAAAATTATATTTTCCGCAATTCTCCAGAAATGATCATTGGATTGAGAAATAAAAAATACCTGTTCAATATTTTTAAAGAACATAATAAAAGTTATTAAAAAGATAAGGTTCATCAACCTAACCTAAAAGATAAGATTTATCAACAAGTGCCAACAACTCGTGAAAACATGGTAGAACGCATAAGAAACGCTTGCGCTGAAACTCCCGCAGATATGCTTCTATCCTGTGTACAGTCATTTGAAAAAAGGATCAATAAGTGTATTGAAGTTGAAGGTAAAAATTTCGAACACTTACTCTAATTAATTGAACAGTGAGAGGCAAGGGGACTCACATTAAAAAAGCACCCCGATCTGTGAGAGGCAAGGGGACTCACATTAAAAAAGCACCCGAAAGGAACATAAAACTATTATGTCCTCGTCGTTGTTCCTGTGTAACGCTAAAAGTAGTTTCTCGGAAGAATTCAACGCTATCTATCACGAATGAAAAAAATTGTTTCAATAAAAATTTCACGTACAATCTAATTCTGCAATGAAAAATGTGGGTCCCCATTTGAGATTTGAACGTTATCACCCACCCTACCCCGAGAGGATGGGGGGGGAATAACTTTTATTATGTTCTTTAAAAATATTGAACAGGTATTTTTTATTTCTCAATCCAATGATCATTTCTGGAGAATTGCGGAAAATATAATTTTTTGCGATTACAGCGCCATCTATCACGAATAAAAAAAAAAGTTTCGGACAAAATTTACGTATTTTATGGCGTAGAATCCGTATCTGCAATAAAAAATGGGGGTTTCCATTTAAGATTTCAAAGTTGCCCCTAACCCCCATCCCCAGGGGGTGGGGTGGGAGGTCGAGTTTGGTATCATTGAATGTCCCCCTTCGAGACTAACAACTTTCATTAACCACTTTTTTTTATCCAATGCATAGTTCTCGAGATATTTCAATGTCTTCAGATAAATCGTGCACCCTGTATATATAACATCAACGAAATTCATCTCACTAATATTGTAGGAAAATTATTTTTTATCATTTTGAACTATATTATTTATTGACTAGTAAATAAGACTTTAACGTTCTTAAGTAGTAAATAAGACTTTAACGTTCTTAAGTATTGACAAATAAATATGTACTTACAAATTACGTAACTGCTTCTTCCGTACTTTTCAGCATCGATTCAAATTCCTTTATTCGCTCTTTATTCGTAAGAGGCAAAAATTCAGTAATAAGCTCATCGTTGTGACCAGGAAGATTTAATGAACGGTTTTTTAATGCATTTTCAAGCTTGAGTATACGTTGTTTGATATCCTGCAAAGTTAATTGCGATGCAGCTTGCATACGCAATATTTGTTTCATACCTTCTGCAACATGACCAACAATCTTATGTAACATATGGATCATACAATATCTTTATAAATTATAAAATATTTACCTTTTATGTTAAAATCTTCTTTATTCTCGGGCACTATATTGCATCCTGAAATAATTGCATATATTATTCGTATTGTAATAATTATTTTCACGTTATAATATATTATTTTTATTAACATATGTATTACCTTCCAATACTATTGGAACATCATGCAACGAAAAATATTCTTTCTGTCCCTGTGTTGCCAAAATGGAATTATTTTCTTTTTCTACAAATTATTAAGGATTACTATAATAAAACTATTTAAAAATTATATAATATTACACGAAAAAAACTTTGTATCAACCTTGTATCAACTTTATATCAGATATTTAGTAAAATATGGAACAATTTTAATTATTATAAAAACAACTATATTTTTGGCTGAAGTTTCTACAAATTTTTTTAGTTATCAGAATTCGATTAAACTTAACAAAATATGTAATTATGTAATAAAAAATCTGGTTATTACAACTAGAATTGTAATTATTCCATATTTTACAAAATATTGTATTGATACAACTACACATTTTTCCGTGTATATATCACATTTTATAACTTACCATGCTGTAAAATAGTTACTTTTCTCTGTGTACTTCTATCCTTTTTTTGAGTTTCCATATTATTTATATTTAAATTATCTGGGCATGGTGGTATATCAGATAGAACAATATTAGACCTGGATTGTCTCTCTGTAAAAAGAAGAATCATATATTTTATTTAAAAACTACTGCATCCATTAAATCATTAATTAATCATTAATTAAATCAGTATCGTATCTCTTTTCACATTCAATTACATTTGACATATAGATATATATTATTGCACTAGCATTTGAGAAAAGGAAAATTACACGTACTCTTGTTCCTTATTCTACAAGTATTATGAATGTTTCAAAATTTTTGCAACAACAAGATAATGTTTTGTAAAATAATGTAACAAATTTGTGCAAAACATATGTATCTTATATATCTATCAAGGAAATTATCATAATAATTATTATATAGCATCTATTTTCATCTTCTATGTAAATATATCAGTTTTTTTTTTCAAGAACAGTTTTAAGCACAACTGTACTTTAACACAAATTAAATATTGTAGGAAATAGATTTGTATAATACATATTCTTACTTTGAAATCTCCGAAACTGAGAATTATCGCATTCTTCCTCATCGTTGCTGAATCGAGAACACGAAATATGTTTCCTTTTGCCTCGTCCTAATAATTCATCATCTGTTGTTTGGTAGTAAGCGTCTGCTGCGCTTTTTCTGGCTGATTCTAAAGACGCTAAAATAAAGATAGAAAAATTAGAATTAGTATTAATATAGTTATCCGTAAAAAATATAGTGATTGCAATTACAATTTTTCCTCGCATTATAACACCACGTTCTACAAACAATGTGAAGATTTATATAAAAATATATTAGTTTTTAGGAAGAAAAGTAAAATTTTAAATGTTTATTTAAATCATAATTATTTCAATGCGTTTTGAAAGTTTTCAGTACATAAAACTAGTAATTACTTGCAGTGCATAAATTTATTAATAGATGATAGTTTCGGAATTATGTACATTTACGTACGTTAATGTAGATTTTGAAAGAGGCAATTAACGTTATGTGTAATAAATTGAATCGTGTTACATTAAGAAATATGTACCATACTCGAAGACAAAATTATATTTGTAACATAATTAAATTTTGACAAAATAAGTAGTACAATAGAATTTAAACATAAAAAAGTAATACTTTGAAATACTTACAACAATATTTCACTATGTCTACTTCGTATTGAGACCATGTCTGAAAATTTGGACTGTTAGCAATCAATGTAGCGTTATTATAAGTTCGAGGTGGCCACTAACATAATTGATTATCATCATCATCTTCTACAAGCCATGCAATCGGAATTTCCGAAAATGTTGAATCCGACAAGAATTTGACAACTGCATATTTTTTATTTCCTTGGATGTCGTTATCCATTGTCTGTCGACATGAAATAAAAATAGACAGATTATTTCATTGTTTCACAAATTAACATTTAAATGTTAAATCTTATATTTTAGATCTATGTCAAAATGACAATGACAAAAATTGTAATGAAAGTAGTATATGTTAACTAAATAACTTTAACGTCTAAATTACAATAATTTGTTCCTCTTACGTGTCTATCAACACATTATTTGGAAATATTCTCTAAAATTTTAAAGCCCGAATAACAAACTATGCTCTTAATTGCCATTTTAATACTTACTTATTAATATTATTAATTTTAATAAAATATGTCCTGATAGATATTGATTTTAAGCAGGATAACATATGAAACGATAGTACCTGCGCGCTATCTGCTGTCAGTCTTTTATCAGATTCTGTTAGCAGGCTCTGTGAATAGAATAACAGTAGATTACGGACACATGACTATGGATCTGTCAACAGATCCTGTTCGAATCTGTCGCCAATGTGCTCTCAATCTGCATAAAGATTATTTACTAGGTTCTTATTCATTCACAATCTTCTTAGAAAAATACTTAAAATTAAATATAAATATGCAATACCCCAAATATTGTACTCACCTTTTAAATATTTATCTTTGGGCAAATACAAATACACTGAATCAATGTTCTTTCAGTATTTCAGTTCTTTTGTGTAGTAGCGAAGGTTCGGATTAAAATTAATGTAATTCAATTTGCAATTATGGAAAATAACAATAAATATTACTATTGTACCAGATATTAAATAATGCATGTGAATAAATTGTACCTAATTATTGGTATTAAGAAGTGGTATTATTACGTAAGAGTTAACGTCATTTGGATATGTAAGTTTTAGACATTTGCTTTTAATTTGTGTTATTGGAATTTCTACATTATCAATAATAGTTTTTGATACTAGAAAGATCTCAAGTTTTTCAGAAGCGCATGGTAAAAAAAGATAAAAAGATTTTTTATTTATCAGTATTTTTTATCAGTAAAAAAGATTTTTTATTTAAAAAACGTTGCGCGCGAATATATAACGTATGATTATCTTCAAATATATCCAAAATGGAAAATACGTTATTGTCATAAAGTAATACAGAATTATCATTCTTCTTCTTTGAAATTTTAAAAGTTTTGAACTGTATATAGCTAATTTTGTTGTTCTTGTAAACAGGTATAGGATATTGTACCAGGCAGAATGGTTGAATAGGAATTTGCAATTCTTCATATATACGATTCGACAGTTTCTTTAAAGGTTTTCCAGATTTATGTAATTTGTTTTTGATTTTTTGCATATGGTTTTCGTATTTAAAACAACTGAAGTTATCCAGGGAACCAAACGTTTGTACATCATTCGCAAGATGTAAAAGATTATGAACATTATATGACAAATATATTTCGCCATAAATTTTTCCATAGTGACAAACAAACCATAATAATAAGGATGTAGTATAAGCATTGAATTTTATACATAATTGCGGATCAATTAATATTCTAATAGCAACACTGAAAGAAACAAAATGATCGTAGTAAACTTGGGGTATAATTTCTTTCAGAATGACAATTCCAGTATATAATAAAAATTGCCCAAATTCCGTGGCTTTCCATCTGTCAACGTCATTTAAATTCCGAGGTTTCCTGGCAAATTCGGATGGAATACAAGACCTAATCGCTAATAAATTATGTGAAAGTATATTAATCTCGGTTGACAATATAATGTTTTTATGTCTAAGCCATAATTGTAACATACGCTTCATAACTCCTAAACAAACAAGGTGCATGTAGTCCAATGGAATTTGCGAGACCATTCCAATAAATAGTTTTTCTAGAATAGAATCACCCCTATGATGCTCTATTTGACTTCGATTTTTAAAAGTCTCATCTGTTCTTAAATTAGTAGGAGTTTCTGAAAAGATTATTTTATTGCACACGAAAGCACCTTTTTGAATACATTTAGGGCATGCAAAATATCCTGTGTGACTTTTAGTGTATGTAACAAATGATCTGGCCGGGGCATCGCATAATATGGCATTAATAGTAACCGTATATTTTTTATTGGAAACGGTTATCCTCTTTTGGAAGAGAGTGATACATTCATTAACAAAATCGAGCATAAATTCATTCGCATCAACAGGTTTCGTTAAACCATGATATACACTAATGATAATCGGTGTTGTATAAATATCAATTTCTTCTATTGATGCCATAAGAGGCCAGAATTGGCTACCGGAACTTTTGGAAATGGGTAATCCATCAATGTTTATATTAATTTTTATCTCATTTTCCTTTATAAACGCAGAATACATTTGTATAGATCGTGCGAGAGACGAAAAAATACCAAAATGAATATAATAACCGTCGCCTAGGTTTAATATGTATAGATACATTTCGTGGTGTGCCAAATAACATTCGGACGTCAGTAGGTAATTCTTTGTGACCATAATTATTCAAAATATGTAGAAGTTTATTCGCGGTATTGTGCGGTATGTTACAGTCTATAATGAATGTTTGTAAATCTTTCCATAAACTCCTTTTATTAGAACAACACAAAATATCTATCAATATAGACATATCATTTTCAGATGCAATGTTAAGTTCTTCATTGCTTCCCGTACTTGAATGTAATTCAATCGATAAATCGTGAGGTTCATTAATATTTTCAGATAATGAATGACTTATGCTTGTATTATCTAAATTTTCTGAATTTAATACCACTTCTTGTACCGCAATAGGTGCAATATTCGATACGATACGTTCTAATAAATTATAATAATGCTCATTATTACAAATTGTACGTTTGATTATTTGATTCCTTCGCCTTTTCGATAAAAACTGTATATCCTTTGGCATGGCAAAATGAATATCTAAAAATATTATACAAAAAGTCCGCATAACATTCATAAATAATTGTAATATGTTATAAAAAATAAATTACAAAAAATCAGAAATAAAATTTCTGTATAAATACTTTAAATAAATACTTTATGAATTAAACTTTTAATGACAAATTATGACATATACATTTATTAACATACATATATAACGAAAACAGAAGAAAATGCAACATTTATTACGCATTATATTATGTAACGGAAAGATTCAGTTAAAACCAAAAAAAAGCGATGTTATATTTTTATATTAAAGAGATAACACTTGGAAAAATGAAATACTACTTTGTTTTTGTTGAGTTTATAAGTTGCATAGGATTTCGAATGCTTTTACACATCGTAAATATAAACAAAAATTAAATAAAGCATTGTTCAAATATATATTATAACAAAAATGAAAACAATATTTCAAAATTGATATCTCGAACTGTTAGTTGGCAAAGATTTGCCTAATATAAAAGATGTTCATTTAGTACATACCAGGTGTGTGCTCAGCTGAGGAAAATTTCTTTGCAAGATACTTCCCAAACAATGGATTTTCAATTATATGCAGATATATCTGTAAAGAAGAAAATTTATGTCATTAAATATATGTTACAAGATATTATAGAACCAAACATGCCATAACAATGAAAGTAAAAAAGAAAGTATCACAGATAGTGTAATGACAGAAATCAACAGCATATGAGAGATAACACTGATGCGAGGTACAGTTAATATTCCAATATCTGTAAGAAAGAAAATATATGTTACAAGGCGATTTTTGGCGACCCCTTGGTACATGTACCAAAGTGTACCAAACTATATATATAGATATATTATATAATATAATAATCTATTAGGTGCGCAACTAAGTTTTCGCTGTTTTTTTGATGAAAATGCAACTTTATTGTGAAAAAATGGTTACAAATGAATCATTCAAAGTATTGCCCATCGCTAGCGACAACTTTTTCCCATCTTTCTGGCAGAGCTCGAATACCGTCACGGTAGAAGTGTTCGTCTTTTGAGGCTATCCACGAATCAAGCCATTTTGAGATGTCTTCATATGAGCGGAACTGCTGATTAGCCAGACCATGTGCCATCGAACGGAACAAGTAATAATCGGACGGCGCAATATCTGGGGAATATGGCGGGTAGGGTAGGACTTCCCATTTGAGCGTTTCTAAGTAGGTTTTAACGGATTTGGCAACGTGAGGCCGAGCGTTGTCATGCTGTAGAATCACTTTTTCGTGCCTCTGCTCGTATTGTGGCCGCTTTTCGCGCAGTGCTCGGCTCAATCGCATCAATTGAGTTCGATACCGTTCCCCAGTGATGGTTTCGTTCGGTTTCAACAGCTCATAATAAATAACACCGCCCTGGTCCCACCAAATACACAGCAAAACCTTCGCAGCGTGAATATTCGGCCGAGCCGACGACGTAGAAGCATGACCGGGCAGTCCCCATGATTTTGTTCTCTTTGGGTTGTTGTAATGAATCCATTTTTCATCACCCGTAACGATGCGATGAAGAAAACCCTTCCTTTTTTGCCGCTGGAGCAGTTGTTCACAGGCGAAAAAACGACGCTCAACGTCTCTTGGCTTCAAATCATAAGGAACCCAAGTTCCTTGTTTTTGAATCATTCCCAACGCATGCAATCGCTTGGAAATGGCTTGGCGGATAACTCCTAACGCTGAAGCAAGCTCTTTTTGCGTTTGGCACGGATCTTCATCGAGTAATGCCTCTAATTCAGCGTCTTCGAAGGTTTTTGGCCTTCCTTCACGCGAACGGTCGTCAACATCGAAATCACCGTCTTTGAAGCGACGGAACCAATTACGGCACGTTGTTTCACTTAGAGCAGTATCTCCGTAAACTTTTTGGAGTTCTCGATGCGCTTCAACCGCCGTTTTCTTCAAATGAAAGAAGAAAAGCAACACTTCCCGCAAATGACGATTATTTGGCACAAAATCAGATATTTTCACACAACCAAAAGTATATGACGCAAAAACAAAATCACTAATGTGTCAAAGCGGTTTGTTTACCATATGTCTAAGCTTGGTTCATGACGTTTTGGTTATGACACAATCGACCAGCACTTACTACTGGAGCCATCTCTTGAAAAACAGCGGGAACTTAGTTGCGCACCTAATATATATATAATTTGGTATACTTTGGTATATGTACCAAGGCGTCGCCAAAAATCACCTATTATAGGATATTATAGGATATATATAACTGTCCAACGAATATTATTTCAACATTAACACTTAAACTTTCGATTTTTATGTATAATATTTATAGGATACTCTTATATATATATATATATATATATATATATATATACACTCAAATGCAAAAAACCCGGTACACTAAAAATTTGGGAAAAAATTACAAAATTTCAAATGATCATAACTTGGTAAATAATGAAGATACAAATATGCGCAGAAATGCAAAATGAAGCTTGAAACGTCCTCTTTAAGAATATCTGAATGGCAATTATGCTCGGCCATTTTTTGCAAAATGGCGGATGATAAAGTGAGAGGATGCAAAATTGATAATCAAAGGTCCGTGTTTGCGATGGTGTGCATCAGGTATCGCAGCGTAATGGGACCAAATGCACATGAAAGTATAGAATGTTATCTTTAAAATGCTACTTTACCGAGCTCGATGTGATCATTTTTCACTGAGTTGTTCCAAATTTTGCTAAAAATGCGGTTTTCTTGTTAAATTTGCATAATTCAGTGAATAAGTATCGCATCAAGCTCTATAACGAAGTATTTTAAAGAAAACATTCTATACTTTTAGGTACTTTTCGTCCCATTGAGCTGCGACACTTACTTTGCTCCATGCGCCGTCGCACGCTCGAATTTTTTTTTAGCAACTTTTCATGTTCTCCTTTTTATCACCCGCCATTTTGAAAAAATATCGTTACGCACAATTTCGATAGATCTTTCGAAAAGTACGGTTTCAAAGCTTTCAAACCGTTTTTGAAATTTGCTGCTAGGATATTTAGGTGTCGAGATATTCAATTTCGAATTTGCAACAAATGTCGATTCAGCGAGGCTTAAGGGGCTAAGAGGCTCTGCGGTTCGTTTGGCTCTTTCATAATTTCAATAGCCGCATTCATTATTCTCTATACAATAATTTATACAATTTTGCGAATTGGAAATTTAATTTTTATCAAAAGTTATCATTCTTTACCCTTCAGTTATACATGATCACTGTGGTATACACTTTAGTTCGCGAAGCTGTCCCTAGCTCTCTACCTTCTCCGTACGATTGGCCATTATGGTACACAGCTTGAATATGCTGTTCAGGATCGCGCCTGAGTTCGCGGTGACCCGGCGCGCGGGATGCCGAGTCGCTGGACGCCAATATATATATTTTCCATATTAGCAATAAATATCGGAACGCTTCTTAATCTTATTCTACAAATATAATATAATATAACAGTTACATAGCTGTAATGCAACGAATGTAAGGCCTATTCTACAATGGCATAAACGTGGTTGTAAGCGTAAAAGTTAACCAATAGAGCGCTTTATTCACTCAAGAGAACATTCTGATTGGTTGGCTCAACACTTTACAACCGCTTACAACCACGTTTACACAATTAGAATAGGCCTAACATGAAATATAACATTTACGTAATATATAACGTATCCATTAGTTGTATTCTTTCACCGTAATGAAATTAGAGTTATATAATAGAAATATTATTGTTATATTGTGTTATATTGTTGCCAGCTAATAACAAGAAAACATAACAGATATATAACATTGTTATATTACTACTATGAAACAAACTTATATAACAGTAATATAACTAGAATATAACATACGTTATATAACGTGTTACTTCTATGTTATATAACAGGTATATTCAGTGTTTGCTGGGTAATTAAAGGAACGACAGAGAGGAGTGGTGAGGCAGAGAGTATAAATTTAGATATAAATTTTGAGATAATAGACCATATAGAGGACATAAAAGAGTACAATATAGAAGATAAATTTAACTTATTTTATGTGCATAGCATTAATAATATAGTGGGTTCTATAGAAACAGAAAAAGATAAAGCAGGTAAAGAAACTATAGAGGGGATAGAAGTAGAAGTAAGAAATGTAATAGAGGTTTTTCAAATGATTGAAACAAAATATCTGGAGGAAGTTGTTATGAGCTTACCTAATAAGAAGGGAACGGAGGAAGGAATTTCGAGTAAGGTATTAAAATCAGTATTTCATGTCATAAAGGACGAGTTTGTAGGAGTAGTTAATGATTCTCTAAAGAAGGGTCAATGTCCGAATAGTTGGAAGACATCTACGATTGTTCCGATACCAAAAATGGCGAAACCTAGGAATGCAAGTGAATATAGACCAATTAACGTTCTACCGATATATGAAAAAGTACTGGAGATTATTGTTAAAGAACAGGTAGAGTTACATCTAGAAAGTAATGACATCATCACGGAAAATCAATCGGGCTCTAGAAAGCAACACTCGTGTGAAACTGCGATACAAATGATTATAGACGAATGGAAACTAATAATCAGTGAGGGTAAGATGATAGGAGTAGTATTTATGGATCTGAAACGAGCGTTTGAAATATATAAATAGAGAAAGGCTAGTAAAAAAATTATATCAATATGGAATCAGAGGAACGGTATTGGAATGGTTTCAATCTTATCTGGATAATAGAAAACAACAAGTGCGTTTTGGGGATAGAACATCTAAGCTGCTTAAGACTAAACATGGAGTTCCACAGGGTTCAGTGTTGGGACTTTTATTGTTTATTATATATATAAATGATATAATTAAATGCTGCCCAGAAGGATGTAGTATAAAATTATTTGCAGATGATACCATATTGTACACAGCCGGCGAAAGTTGTAATGAAGTTGAAAAAAAAATGAATTCTATGTTTAATAAAGTTGAGAGATGGCTAAGAGTAAATGGGTTAAAGTTAAATGTAAGTAAAACAAAATATATGGTTGTAAGGGGTGTGAGGAAAGAACTGAAAACGTGTACGGTGGTGAAATGTATGGATGGGACAACAATAGAACAGGTGGAAAAAATAAAACACCTCGGTCATTGATCATCATTGATAGTAAACTAAAAATGGGTGACCATTGCGATTATATGTGTAAGAAGATAGGGAAAAAAACAAGTTTTTTGAACAGGATGTATTGGGTGAGTGCAAAAGTTCGTGCGGAGTTTCAATAGATGGAGTTATAAGCGTCGTAAAGTGTTGTCATTAATACTTCCATCTACATATTATATAACGTTGGAAAGGTGACCTATCAGCTGTTATTAAAAAAAAATCATTTGTTTTCATACAAACTGCTTCGAGAAATATCACTTTAAAAATGAGTATCGATAAGGTGCATTTACGGCATGTTATGCTTTACGAGTTTCGGAAGGGAATAAACGTTGCCGCAGCCGTAAAAAACATTCAGGATGTTTATCAGGATGAAGCACCAGCTAAACGAACTGTGGGAAAATGGTTTGCTAAATTTCGGCGCGGAGAATTTAACCTTGAAGACGAGCCACGCTCTGGTCGACCTTCTGACATTGATGACGATGTTTTGCGTACTTTAGTGCTCAATAATCCGCGAATTTCAACAGAAGAAGTTGCTACAGCACTAAACGTTGACCGATCAACCGCTTTTCGGCGTTTAAAAAAGATGGGATTCGATTTGAAGCTCGATATATGGGTGTCCCATTTGCTGACCGAGAAGAACAAAATCAAGCGAATTTCTGCAGTTTCTTTACTCGGGCGGCTCAATAACGAGTCGTTTTTGGATCGACTAATGACGGGCGATGAGAAATGGGTCCTCTACAACAATGTTCAGCGCAAACGGACATGGAAACAATCAGGTGAGCATGGTGACGCAATGCCAAAGGCCAGTTTGCACCCGATGAAGGTGATGCTCTCTGTTTGGTGGGATTGCAAGGGCATAATCTATTTCGAGCTTCTCCCCGCTGGCGAAACGATTGATTCGGACAAGTACTGTCGCCAATTAACCAATCTGAATCGAGAAATAAAAGAGAAACGTCCGATTTTGTCAAATCGCAAGGGAGTCGTCTTTCATCACGACAACGCCAGACCACACGTTTCGAAAAAGACGCTGCGCAAACTGAAGAGCCTGAAATGGGATGTCTTAACGCATCCACCGTATTCTCCTGATATCGCATCATCTGACTATCACTTGTTCCGGTCATTGCAAAATTATTTAAATGGAAAAAACTTTGACTCTTTGGAGGCCTTAAAAAACGGCGTCTCTTCGTTCTTCGAATCTAAACCGCGCAGTTTTTATGATCGAGGCATCTGTATGCTGCCAGAACGTTGGGAAAAGATTATAGAAAACGATGGAGAATATATCATTGATTGAATAAAGATTTTTGTTTGCCTAATCACTGTGTGACTTTTACTCACAAACTCTGCACGAACTTTTGCACTCACCCAATATATGTAACAGTATATCGGCGAGTATAAGATATATCATATATAAATCGATTATTGCGCCTCACTTTGAATATTGTGCGACCATATTAATTGGGATGAGTGAGGAGCAGTTAGATAAATTGCAAATAACGCAAAATCGTGCTATGAGGGTCATACTGCAGTGCAGACGGGATACTGAGATAGAATGTATGCTGAAGGCGTTACAGTTTATGACGGTGAGACAGAGGTTATACTACAATACAGGTATATTTATTTTCAAAATAATAAAAGGCCTTTGGCCTGATTATTTGAGAAGGAAGATACAAAGAGTGAGTAGCATTAGTGGTAGACAAACGAGACAAGGGGCAAATATTGTGCAATTTCGAAGAACAAATAATGCGCAGAAATGTATGTTTTACAATGGAATAAATATATATAATGATTTACCGATGGAGATAAAGTGTTGTGAGAGATTGGAGCATTTTAAGCGAAAACTGAAGAAACACATTTTAGATATAAGTTAAATATAAGTTAGTGTCAATTCATATCAACTTTTGTATTCTGTATTTAAATGTAATGTAATAGCTGAGAAAGCTAGAAAAGATCAACCAATCAATCAAATCACACACCCTCAAGCACACTCTCTTTCTCAGATTCTCTCTCTCCCATCTTTTCTCCCTCACACTCTCTCTCCCTCACCCCTCTCCCTTTTCTCGCCCCTTCATACACTCACCCTCTCACACTCCCTCTCTAATACACTCCTTCTCTCACATTCTCTCTCTCATACTCTCCCACACCCTCTCACTCTCCCTCCCTCCCTCTCTCTCTCTCTCTCTCTCTCTCTCTCTCTCTCTCTCTCTCT